TTAGCTTCTGCTTTTTTCTCTTCTTTCATCAATAATAAAGAGATGCTACATTGGGGTCAAACTCTGCTTCCACTGATATCATCTGACTACTTCAGGCAGACCAGAATAAATTGATAGATTTTAATTCCCTACAGCTTGAAGGCAACATTGATATTCACATCAGAGTTTCAGAGCTATGACACAACTAAAATTAGCACTTTCTAATTTAAGCCCTATTGTCAGTTCTTTAGTAAGTAAATGATAATAAAAAACATATTTTTAACCTTTCTTCCCATGCCACTGCCCAGTCCATTTTTGTTTCGTTATTTACTGTCTTCTTGGTTTCATTGAAGTTCCTGCTCCATTACTTCTGAAAGCCTTGTCACATGGGACACTACACACATGTTTTATTTAGATCATAGTAAGCATTACTGTGCAGTCTCACAGTAATGTCTACTCCAGTCTGTAAGTGTAACATGTGACATGCTATGGACTTACATTGGTGCCAGTTCAATCCTGGTGTAGTTCTGGCCTGGGAGATAATCAGCTGATTGTTGGTGCCAGTCCTGAGTCTGCACTGGAGCTGTCAGTCCCAGGCTTAGACCGCAATGGAGCCAATTCAACTCTGATGTGGTGCCAGAGCTGGGACTGACAACCAGCAAGCTATGGTGACATTGTCTCCGGGGGAAGTTAAATGATAACTGAACATATATTATGTACTATGATCTAAAGATTTTTGTCTCCTGAAAAGGCCTAACTTTGCTACAATACATTTGAACATAGGACATGTTTTATTGCTTGAATGGTTTAATTTTAAGGGAAGTTAACTCTCCCTAAGCGTAACAAAAAAAAACAAAACAAAAAAACAAGTCCTGAGCCACACAGAATGAAGACAGCTGGCATTGGATGTAATATGTAACTTCTATCATATTCTGAGAAGAGGATGTTCCTTTTACATAGTGGCCAGTGACACTTTGGCTGAATATACACACTCAAATAATCTGGCAGAATTCTCCCAGGTTTGTTCTCCTGGTAGAAAAGCTTATCCAGAGTCATGAGTATACACATTCAGATGCTAAGGCTATAAAGAGTGGAGAGCTTACAATGCTGACACAGTAAATCTAGGGAGAAGGGCACAGAGTGGGGCTGTGCACGCATCTCATCATGCTATGTGGGCTCCCTTAATTCACCTGGTGACAGATAGCAGCAGTACATAACCCACCCCTAACTGGCTAAACCAGTTTGCCTGTGGTCAGCCTGCTTCCCTGCAGAACAATGTGGGGATTGTGAAGGGGATGTTCTGCTCCTGGGGGTGTTCTGCTCCCTGAGCATCTATTTGTTGGTATGCATGCATTAGTTAGATGTTGTTTTCTGATTTTTTCATCCAGTGCTAAAATGTTAGGGTTAAAGTTTTAGCTTCATTGCTACCTCCAATATCAAGTCTACTTATATACCCCCTACAAATACAAACTGTCAATATAAAAACACCCCCCAAAAAACACTTAAAAACCCTCAACCTCCCCCAAACAAAAACAACAACAAAAAACCCCCCATCCATCTTTCTCAGCGTCTTAGTGACATATTAGCTGAGCTTCAGAGAGATTATTCTTAGCTTATTAAAAAATGGTCCCCTTTATCACCCCCACCCTCAAAACAATTTCTGCCATCAACTACGGTCAAACAGCATGTATAGAAGAGAATGCAGGACCGAGTTAAATAGGACTGAGAGACAGAGAGACAGTTCTCTGTTTTCATCTGTCTGTCGCTGTCTGATAATTTGTATCAGTTTCGAGACAAAATTGTTTTTCTCCCCTTTCACAGACCACATCTGATGTCAGTCTTAGATCTGGCTAGGTAGGAAGCCAGACCTAGCCTTGATTTTTCTTCCCTCTTTTTTCTAGGGCATTAAGCACTGAAGAAAGCATCAGATAAGGATACAGACTGATTTTAAAACTGCCTAAACTATCTTGCTAAGTGTGAGAAACCTTGTTACCTGCCATTCAATGCATGCAGCAACCAGTAAGCTTATAACAAGGAGTAGAAAATATAGTTAGTAAGGCATGCACAAAGCAAAGAACAAAACCAAGAAAGCAAGAGGAAAATCACCTATTTGTGTTACTCCAGGGAAATAACCCAGTGGTATTTTTAGTTTAGTTTCATTACCTTTCCCCATTTGTGGACTTCTGAGTCAGTTTGAAGTGAACATAACATATATTTGAGATACTTTTTATATTAGAAACATGAATTTCTAGTATTGGGTGTATCCTCTCAAAAAAATCACCATACATATACACATGGGGAAGCAGGGGGAACGTCATGGCTCCTGTGATGCCTGTTAGCCTTTATTTGCAATAACAAAGCTGTATACCTCTTTGGAAATTTAGAGGGGAAGAGGGAATTGTTAGCTCTTTTCATTTCTATTCCATAGAGCAGGTTAGAGGGAGGTGGCTAGTACACAGAATCAACCAGTCTGTGGCTATTGAGGAGAAGAGTGCTGATACAGGGAGAACCTGTTTGGTGAGTCATGGTTTGTTAACCGAGAAACAACTAGAAGATAGGTAAGGTTTCTGAAAAATATGTGGAACATAAACGTTCTTTTATACTTTTCTATCTTCAGTTTCCACAGACTGGAATCCCCCAGGTCATTTTAACTGGCCCTCATACTTTCAACAAATAAGTGTAGAAACACTCATTTCATTTTAATTGTAACACAGAATATGACAGTTGCCAATCAGAATAGTAACCAAGTGATTAGTAACTACCTAATTAACACTTTATGAAATGCAGGCATTGATAGGAAACAAAAAACATTTTGTGAAAAAATATGACTTTTTAAAACAACTTCTTTGGTCATATCCAGGATTGAATTTCCAATCTAAACTAGAGAGACTTACTCAAGAAAAGTTATTGCATACTTAAGAGTAGAAATCTAAGCTTGGGCTGCCCACAAGTCAAATCAATACACTAGTCACTGCAAGTCATCTGGCCTGGATGGAATGGACCCAAGAGTGATAAAAGAGTTGGCTGATATCATAGCACAACCAATGGTGAGGATATTTGAGAACACATGGTGCTCATGAGAGGTTCCTGAAGATTGGAAGAGGGTCAATATGGTGCCAATCTTCAAGAAAGGAAGGAAGGAAGATCCAGGGAACTACAGGCCAATCAGTTTGATCTCATTCCGTGGAAAGATCTTGGAAAAAAATCATTAAAGAAACCAGCAACAACAGGCTAATAGAAGGCAACATTCTGAAAGATAACCAACATGGTTTTTGTTGTGGGTGGGTCTGCCTGACCAACTTCATTTCCTTCTCTGACCAGGTGACACATCATCGGGACAAAGGAGAAAAGGTTGATGTCATATATTTAGATTTCAAAACAGCTTTTGACTTGGTCTTCTATGATGTCCTCATGGTAAAATTGGGGAACTGTGGCCTTGACAACGTTATGGTCTGATGGCTCAGAAACTGGCTCTATGGTTGGACCTAGAGAGTAATAGTAGATGAAACTGAGTCAACATAGTGCATGGTGACCAATGGCATCCCCCAGGGCTCAGTACTCAGACCAGTACTCTTTAATATATTCATAAATTATCTAGATTCGTGTGTCAGAAGCAGATAGAGTAAGTTTGCATATGACACCAAATTATGGGGAAATGCAGTCATGCTAGAGGATAGGCTAGCGATTCAGGCTGACCTGGACAGGCTCTTAAGGTGAGAAGATCAATACCTGATGACATTTAACATGGGGAAATGCAAGGTGCTCCATCTCAGAAGAAAAAACCCACATCATACTTACAGGCTCAGCAGTGCTACACTCACTAGCATCAGGACCGAAAGAGAGTTGGGGGTCATGATTGACCACAAGATGAACATCATTTTAATTTGGATATAGGGATATATATACATGTCTTCTTTACCTTTCGAGTCTCTGGAGTCTGGAATAGACTTGGAATAGACTCCCCCTCAAAGTGGTGCAAGCACCATCTCTGGATATCTTTAAGAAACACTTGGATGCTGATCTTACTAGGGTGATCTGACCCCAGTTGACTTCCTGCCCCTTGAGCAGGGGGCTGGACCCAATGGTCTTGTGAGGTCCCTTCCAACCCTAATGTCTATGAATCTATGAATCTTTGAACTACTGGGTATTCCACTGATTGTGTGAATTCTATCCCAGACTTGGGAAATTTTCCATAACCCCAATTCATTTAGCTGAAAAGTTTATTTTGACATATTGTTGTTTTATGAAGGAAACTATCTTGTCCAAAAGTTTTTGTCCAGTTCTAATGAGTTGTCTCATTCACCAGGCTGTAAGTTGAAAGAAATGATAGGAAACAAGCAACTGAACATACAACAGCTGTGAAAACAAATAGTTCTATTAAAGTAAAATGTTAACATTGTCAAGGATATTTAAGTAACAGGGCAGAAATAATTGGCTTCTTTATATCCTTCAAGATAAAAGCATGCCACTGAACAAAACTCTTATTTGAAAAGTAAGACTTGAACATGGATTGAGCGTGATCTTGGTAGCGTGATACTTTGTGCTGAACAGCAACTATGATCATTCAAACCTCTGTACCATGCCTTCCAGCAACTTGTGCATCTTCCTGCAATCACTATGAGTTTCATATTACTTTTATGAAAAATAAAAAAGAGCATACAGGCCATGTCCACATGAGCACAGACATTTGTTTCCCTGGGGACAAGAAGCAGCATCACACCTTATGCTGCTGCTACTTGTCCCCAAAGAATGCCTGTGCTACACACCCTCTGATGCAGAACAGGTTACCCCAAGTGGCACAGGGGAGGCAGGGTCCAGTACTAGGCTGGCCCCAGAAGACTTACCTGGGCTCCTGGGGGCCTCCTAGGGCTGGAGCAGTGGCAATCCTGCCACTTGGATCCTGGCCGGCAGCTGTAGTGTGGCCCCAGTTTTGGGAGGTGCACACTGACCCCATGTGCACCACTCCACTTTTTCTGGAACAGGTTTTTTTACCCTGGGTTCTCCATGCATGGCAACATATGGCTGTGCTCATCTGGATACGGCAACAAAGGACATTCATTAGTACTATAACAAAGATTAGATGCAAACAGAAACATCCATATTAATCAGGTCCTGGGTTCTAGCCTGCACATTTATTCCAAATGGGGTAGAAAATTCTCCAGCGCCCTCTGACCTGGTGGGTAGAGTTTCAGAGAGATGGGAGAGGAGTCCTCAATCTGTCTCTCCTGCTTCTGGGTTAAACACCTTAGGCACTCAGCTTTTGGGCTTAAAAATGGGACGTTCCCCCTCAATTTGTCAGCCAGAACTTTAGGACTTAGACTTACACACATTCATGTTGAACCACATAACTTCCCTACTGGTATGCAGGTGACTGGGCATGCTTAGTATCCTTGTGGATACCTGTGCATCCACATTACACACAGAAACTGTGGCGAAGTGCCAAAGTGGCAGTTATACAACTAGAAAACTGCTATTTTGAAACGTAAAGTGAGTGTTCAAAGTCCATTAAGTTCTGTTTTAGGTTCCTTAAACCTTATGTGGATTTTGCTCTAAATGCAAAAAAAAAGTTAGGAAGTTGGTAAAAGTGTATTAATGTCTATAAGCACATATAAAATTGCTTATGTGGTAGGCACTGGTAAGTCTAACTAATTAGTAGATTAGAAACCTAAATATTAAGTCCATGTGTTTTATTTATGCAGTAACAGCATCTTCCTTTTGGAGAATATGCTCTTTTTCTATAGGATAGAATGAAAAAGTACTTGCAGTGTCAGTCTCATATAATTTGTGTTTCATTTAACTAAGCTTCTGTGGATTATTTTCATATTTTCCTAGGAAAATAAGAGTGGCTTTTTTTGTTTTTTGGAATTATCTCACTTGCTTATATTAAAGGGTTTTTTTGGAAAGAAATAAAGCCAACATAGGGTACTACATACTGTAGTCAAATACAAGTATGAAGAATGGGTTGCCAGACATTTAGGCAAATTGACATGGCAAGCACTAGGGGCTCTTACACATGTGTGTGAGACATGGTGCCCGGTAATTTAATTAGCGAGCCATGCTAATTAAAAGCACCTGTGCATCATGTGTATTAGGATCACTGAGCATTCTAGCACTAAAAAAATGGTGGCAGGGTACGCTGAACAAAGCTCATCAGATGTGTTTTATTTCAAAGTACCCTGCTGCCATTTTGTCAGCACAGAGATATGCAGCAATGCTGATACACATGATGTGTGAGGCTGCCGGAGCACGTCAATTTCTGTGCAGACTTGATTAATCAAGTCTACTCCAACACACTGGATTTCCAATGCATCAGAACAGGTTCCCCACATGTATATAGGAGCCCTAATACAATACATAGTTATTGTCTATATAAATGACTTGACAACACTTCACATCTAGCATGCTTTGGGGTTTTTTTCTTTCTTATTATACATCTAAATCCAGAAGAAGGATGCTAATTCAATTGCATATGTTCTCAGTTCAAAAGCTGAACTAAAGCTGGACATAGAGGGATTTTTGAGTAAGGGAGATCACAGTGAATGACCATTGCATCACTTTTACTTGTCAAGAAGAATGTTTGGATCCAGGGTTATATTATTGATTAATCCTGCTCAACAATAAACAAATATCCCTTTCTGCCTATGGAAGACAATAACAGGTGTGCAAAATTTCATAAAGTTGGTTTTAGTACACAGTCATTTACTGAGTTGGGTATGGGCTGGATCTTGTGCATTACTGAGAGTGAGAAACTACTAATGTCTTTGATTGTGAAAAGCTGCTTTGGGATTAGCATGGCTGTGAGCTTTGTAACAAGAATTACAAGAAATTCTTGGAACTCAGTACTATTATCTTTACACTGAAAACTGATGCGTATGGTAGAATGTTGAGCCTTTGATCATATGGCCTGGAAGAAATGGGACATACGGAATTTTTTCAAGAAATAAGAATTGTAGCCATGAGAGTGATGAAATGGGAATGCACAAGATAGACGCTAAAACAAATGCTGTAAATAATGTTCCTTGCCCTGTAAAAATAATAGGACACTCCCACCTGTGGTGTATGCTCCTTAGTGAGGTCCCTGGAAACCCAGGTGCCTGAGCTCCAGGCCCAGGTTGGCAGACTTTGTGCCATCAGTGCCCATGAGCAGGAGGTGGATGGCTACTACAGTCAGGCTCATCTTCTTCATTCTTAAGGAGAAGAGAAGAAGATAGAGGAGAAGGTGGCCAACAAGAAGGCTGACTGGAGAGACTCACACAGAGCTACCTGGAAGATGGTCATCTCAGGCTCCAGGACATGCAGGGCTAGGGCTGCCTCTCCCTCGGCATTGCAGAACAGGTATGCTTCCCACACCATGCATGAGGAGGCTCCAATAGAGACACCACAGGAGGAGGTAGGTAGTCAGCAAACTGCCACCCTCAAAAGGAGACACAGGATGGTAGTTCTGGCAGACTTCCTCCTGCAGTGAGGGACCCACCTGCTGTCCAGACACCCTAGCCTGTGAGGTCTACTGCCTCCCTGGAGCCCACATCTGGGATGTAGTGGAGAGGATCCTTTGGCTTTTCCAGCCCTCTGACCACTATCCCATGCTTCTTATTCATGTGGGCACAAATGACATGGCTAGGAGTAATCCAGACTGGGTCATGAGTGACAACAGGGCTCTGGAGGATGGGCTCAAGGGGTCAGGTGTGCAGGTAGTCTTTTCCTCTGTGCTCCCAGTTGCAGGCCATGGACCTAGGAGGGAACGATGCAATGAAGAAATGAACTAACGACTCCAGCAGTAGTACTACTGAGGGGGCTTTGGTTTATTCGACCACAATGCACACTTCAGGGAGACAGAAGTCCTGGGAAGGGACAGCATCCACCTCACATGGAGGGGTAAGTCCCTGTTCTTGGCCAGGATGGCCAATCTTCCAGATAGGGCTTTAAACTAAGATCACCAGGGGATGGGGAAACAGTGACTGGAGCATGCCCGGGGACAGACACACAAGAAAGCTCTGAAGGTGGAGACACTAGGAGAGCCATTCTTGCAGGAGCTGAGGGAATGGTTCTCCCTCAGTGTGACAGGAAATCTTAATTGGAGGACTCAGGGGCCTATACACTATTGCCAGGAGCATGGGTAACAAGCAGGAGAAGCTAGCCCTCCTACTTTCCAGTGGGCATTATGATCTAGTAGGGATTATAGAGACTGGGAGGGACTCCTCACATGATTGGAATGTAGCCATAGAGGGCTACACAGTGCACAGAAGGGACCCAGTAGGGAAAAAAAATGGAGGTGTAGCTTTTTATGTGAGGGAGCAGTACACCTCCTTGGAGGCCAACATGGGCTCCAAAGAAGAGTGATTTGAAACCCTCTGGGTCAAACTATGGGGTGGAGGGAAGGGGGCGGGGCAGGGCAGGGGGGCATGGTGAGAGAGACCTAACTGTTGGTGTATACTACAAACCACCAAACCAGGGGGAGGAACTTGATCTGGAGTTCTCTCAAGAACTGGCAGAAGCTGTGTGCATACAAGACATGGTCGTCATGAGTGACTTCAGTTACCTAGACATCTCTTGGGAGGAACACTCGACTAAGTTGGATTGCTCGCATTGCTTCCTGACCCGTACTGAAGAGCTCTACCTGTCTCAGGAACTGCATCGGCCAACGAGAGGTAACACTCTCCTAGACTTGGTCTTGGCCAAAGCAGATGATCTGGTGAGCAACTTGAATATAGAGGGTAGCCTGGATGACAGCAACCACAAAGCCATCACGTTCACTGTCTGTCACAAGGCAGGAAAATCAATTATCAGGTTTAAAGTTTTGGATGTCAAAAAAGTTAATTTCAACAGGATCAGGACAATAGTAGGGGAAGCACTGCAGGACCAGAGACTGAAAGGAGTGCATGAAGGGTGGTCATTCCTCAAGGACATGATCCTCGAAGCACAAAATAAGTCACTTCCCACGTGGAGGAAAGATAGCAGAAGGGCTGGTAAACCCTCCTGGCTTAATAGGGATATCATAGTCCTCTTAAGAAAGAAGAAAGAGGCATACAAACAATGGAAGCTTGGGACAGTCCCCGAGAAGTACTATACAAGAACAGCCTACACTAGTAGGGAGCAGATTAGAAAGGCTAAGGTGGCAACTGAATTAGAACTAGCAACAGAAATCAAGGACAATAAGAAATATTTCTTTAGGTATGTAGGAAACAGGAGGACAACAAATGGAAGTGTTTGGCCATTGCTTAACAACTCAGAATAACTTGTTACTAACACACAGAAGACAACTGGTGGGAACAACTCCCTTCCTATTGTTGAAGTTGAGCTAGTGCATAATCACTTAGAAAAGTTAGACATTTATAAGTCATCAGGACTGGATGAACTTCATTCAAGTGTGCTAAAGGAGTTGGCCAAAGTCATCATGGGACCTCTGGCAGAACTCTTCCAAAACTTGTGGCACACAGGGGAGGTCCCTGAAGACTGGAAGAGGGCTAATGTTGTGCCCATCTTCAAGTAGGAGAGGGGAGAGGACCCAGGCAACTATAGACCAGTTAGCCAAACTTCTATCCCAGGGAAAACCCTGGAAAAATTAAAGGTAGGATTCTGAATGACAGTGAGCAGTCTTGTCTTACCAATCTCATCTCCTTCTGCAACCAGGATCTTGCCACTTGGATAAGAGAGAGGAGATTGATATTGTATACCTGGAACTCCAAAAGGCCTTTGGTCTGGTATCCAATGATGTCCTCATGGGAAAACTGAAGGATTGCAGGCTTAACTGCTTGACCATTAGGTGGGTAGGAAGCTGGCTGCGGGGTAGGACCCAGAGAGTTCTAATGAACAAATCTGTGTCCTCTTGGTGAGAAGTGGCCCGTGGTGTCCCTCAGGGGCCCATGCTTGGTCCAGTGTTTTTCAACATCTTTATCAATGTTTTGGATGTGGGAGTGAAGAGCTCACTGGCCAAGTTTACAGCAACACCAATCTATGGGGGAATGTGGTCATGCTGGAAAATAGGCTGCAGATACAGGTGGACCTACACAGGCTAGCAAGTTGGGCAGATCA